GAACTGGCATGAAGGATGAATACTTTGAGGTGAGTACTTGAACAGATGGTTATTTGACTATGCTTGCACAGTGAACCTTCAGTTATGGAGCTCATTAGCTCAGGAGTTTCAGCACAATCTGGATAAAGAGGAAGGGTTACTCTCCCTTAACCATCAGAGGTCCTTAGGGATATTTGTGATAGATTCCCAAGTTCAGTTCAATTCAGCATATGTAAATAACTCACACTAATGTAGCTATTTGCAAAACTTTCCCCAGATGAACTCATTTGATTATCACACCAGCTCACGCTGCCGGCAAGGCTCTGCAAGGAGTTGTGGAGAAGAAAGATGGTTCATATGGAAGTTTCTGCTCTGTACTTCTGTGCAGAATTGCTGAAAAGCAATTTAACTTGAAGGCCTAGTAGATTTGATTTACTTTTACTTATATTTTGCACTCAGAGAATTTTTAACTATTTTATGAGAATTGATACTTTAAGAAGCAACTGTGAAGAAAGTTTGTGTGTTGCTTTTTATAAATTCTTCCAGGCTACATTTTGATGTTGAGAGAATGATTTGTTTTTATATTGATTTCTGCTTTCTCTGAAAGCAGAAATCAATATAAAAGGGATATTAATAGTAATATATTAATATTAAGGGATATGGGAGTCCTTTTATTAATATATCAATATTAAGTCCTTTTATTAATATATCAATATTAAGAGATATGGGAGTCCTTTTAGGTGACTAGCTTTTGTGTTGACCACAGGAAAATTCTATTGGTGAGCATGTTCTGTGAGCATGTTGGTGAGCATTTTCAACCAGCAGTTGAAAATCACTATCCTAGTTACATGCTGAAAAGCAGCAATGCTGAAGCCAAAGTTCAGTTTCTAGTCCTCTGTGTTTTCTTTCCCACAAGGCTGCTTCTCCCAGAGGGTCAGAGTGATCAGAGTTAAACTTGCTTCTGGGTATATGCTGCTTTACCTTGGGATACCTTTAGAAGCAGAGTGGCTATGAAGTGGGGCTATGAAGTGGGGCTGTAACATGAGGAGCCCTCACTTGTCTGGGGTCTTGAGTAGTGAAAGAACATAGGTTGTGATCAGGAAACATTTCTTTAGAAGTCTTGGTAGCTTGCTAGGCTCTCAGAGAGCCAATAAAACAAAAACAAAAAACAAACAAACAAAAAAACAACCTCACTTGATAATGACATTTGATAGATTCTTTTCAGAGTATACATTTACTGTATTTAACCAATAATTTTCATCTGCATTGATTTCTTCTATGATGGCCCAGCATGACACTGCATGGGTTTTTGCTGTTTGTGTGGGACACATCAGATGCTTGCTGTTGAGTCCTTCTGCCTGTTAGGCTATCCTTTAGCGCTTCACACCGCTGCCTCTGTGCTGTGATTCTCTCACAGGTTAATACCACTGTAACTGATCTTGTTCAAAAGCAACCACCTTAGACTAATTATGGTCCTGGATCTGCTGTCAAACCATAAGCCACATTGACTTACCTTTCAAGGCACCAATAATTTATTATGATCTTTTCATATTTTCAAAATAGGACTCATGGACCCTGGGGATGTGGCTCAATGGTAGAGTACTTGCTTGCAAGTGTGAAGGCCCTGAGGTCAATCTCCACACTGGAAGAAACAAAAGCAAAAACAAGGAAACCCATTTTTGTCCTAATTGTAAAATTTTATATTCTTTTAATTAAAGAAGTACCCTTGAACTGCCCCAAGATTACATTAGTTTGGGTCCCCACAAAACTTGGATCTGTCTCTGATGTCCAAACAAATTTACGAATGAGTTAGGAATCAATTAGAAATTAGGAATTAGTTTAGGAATTAGAATTAATCTAATTAGGAATTAGATCAATTAGGAATCCCATTTAATACTTCAAATTTTATCTTAAAGTCAATGTTTAAAAATATGAGTACAGATCTGAGGACGTAATTTAGTAGTAGGGTACATGCTGGACACTGGGTTCAACTCCTGAGAAGTTTAATTTTGTTTTTTATACTTTATATTAATTTAATTTTTAATAACAAAAATATGAAAGAAAAAGTTGTGTTAGGTAAAAATCTGAATGCACTTTCCTTAAGATTTGAAACTTAGAGAAGTATGTTCACACTTCTTACTTTTCAGCAGAGTTCTACAAGACCTAACTGGATTAATTAATCAAGAAATAGATAGGCATTCAAAATGGAAAAGAAAAAACTACTGATGTTTGTGTATGATTATAAAACCTTACAGAGTCCTCAAAAAAAAACCTTACAGAGTCCTCAAAAAATAAAAATAATGAGTTCAGTAAGGTGGCAGGATACAAAGTCAATATAGTTTGTCTGTTGCATTACTATATGCAAACAGTGAGTTGGAGGAAATGGTGATTAAGGAAACAGTCCCAATTAGAGTTGCCTCAAAAAAAGATAAAATACATGAGAGTAAAAATAATAAAGGGGATGAAAGACTTATTCACTGAGAACTATAAGACTTTGTTATAAAAAATAGAAGTCATAAGGCAATGGAAAGACACACAGGCTCATGGATTGTCAGAATAAACATCATTGGGCTGGAGGGATAATACAGTCAGGAAGGTGCTGGCCTTGTACATGCTAACACAGGTTCAGTCCCAGCTCTTTGTATGATTCCCCTAAGCCTCACCAGTAGTGATTCCTGACTATTTTTTTGTTCCTCCAATGAAAAATAAACTGCTAAATTGACCATCTGACCTTGTACAACCTACAAATGAACACAGTATTTCTCAAAATTCCAATGGCAATTTTGAAGGAAATAGAACAAAACAAGTACAGAATTTGGGACTACAACAGACACAGAAAAGCAAAAGAAGTTCTGAGAAAAAAGATGAAAACATAGATATCATGCTCCATCATGGTTTATACTATATTTTGAAACAATAATTGTAATAATAATAATCCTAGACTCATTGAAAACTATGGTAGCTTACCATTACAAATTTTTGAAAGTATGTGTCTATTCAATTTATTGTTTCCCTCAATAACATTGTGGCACTTGATACTATAAAATTATATGTTTATAAAAGGATATATTTTTAAAGCATGCACAATATATATATATTTTTATTATTAGTGAAACACCATGAGGTACAGTTGTAGATTTACAATTTTTTGTGCTTAGGTTTCGATTATACAATGATCAAATACCCATCCCTCCACCAGTGCCCATTTTCCACCACCATGGATAATATCCCTACCACCCCCATCCCCCCCATTCCACCCTGCCTCTGTGGCAGGGCAATCCCTTGGCATGCACAATATTTTACATACTATTCTTATTAGCTAGGCTGGAGCGATAGCACAGCGTGTAGGGCATTTGTCTTGCACGCAGCCAACATGGCCTACCCGAGTTCGATTCCTCCGCCCCTCTCGGAGAGCCTGGCAGGCTACCGAGAGTATCTCGTCCGCACAGCAAAGCCTGGCAAGTTACGATATGCCAAACACAGTAACAACAAAGTCTCATAATGGAGATGTTACTGGGCCCTCATGAGAAAATCGATGAACAACGGGAGGACAGTGACAGTGACATTTTTATTAGCTACATTAGAAGTATTTTACAATAATTCAAATAATAGCTGCTTTTAACTAGTGTCTTTTATATGCCAAACATTTGAGTAATTCTTACTGTGTGTTTTCAAAGTAGGTCAATACCACTGTTTTAACTTTCTCAAAGTAGAAATGAAAGTCAGTGCAATTCATGATTGGATTTCCTGCAAGGATTCCTCATTGTTAGATAATTCATTCCCCTGTTAAGGAAGATTAGTGTTTCCTTGATAATCCATTGTATAAATCATGAAAGGTACTAATTCTTTAGAGAAAGAGACTTTTTAAGAAACATGTTTTAACATATTTTAATCCCATTCCTTTCTGAAATTGTTGCAACTCAAGCGACATGTTATTCAACTCAATGAGTTGAATGGGTCAGACTTTAGTGCTTATGGGTCAGACTTTAGTGCTCCCATTGGATTAATTATATTTTCTGAGAACATTACTGAAACAATAAAGTGTTTTTTAAAAAGTGTATATATATATTTTTTTTAATCCCCAAGATCTTGGTTGAAACACCCAACACTGATAATTCTATGAGCAGAGATAAAATATGTCTGATCAAATCCCCTTTCTCAAATGCTCTGCTTTTGGAATGCCTCTGTGACTTTGAACCAGCTACACATCTCATCATGGGTAAACCCTTCACCTCCCTTTTCTTTCTTCAGCAGTATTATCTGCTGAAACTTGGTGATAGATATAGGAACAGTGAATTATCCAGGGGTAGGTAGAGTTTGCCTGAGTTTTTTTTTTCCCCAATTAAGTAATTGGGTGATGATTCTGTTCCCATTGAGGGATTGTGGGAACAGAGAAACACCTATTTGAGATTTTAACAGGATCCCTGACTATTCATCCATGAAATGATTGCTTATTTTCTGCTTGGTATCACAGAGCATGAATTATAGGGTTTCTTGTTTTGCTTTTTAAAAAGTTTCTCCATTTCAGCTGAAGATACTTTCACGTGTGGTAGAAGAGTTAGTGGCCTATTTGGTGCAGCAATTAATTTCTTTCAAAATTTCCCATGACTTTTAGTATGTATGATTAATACTAAATTTTATATTCTGTAGGTATGCTGGGTATTTCCCTTGCATCTTTGGATACTTTAAAATGAAGAACCTTGAGGCCAGAGAGATAGCTCAAAGGGCTGGCTGCATGTGTTGCCTGCAGGAAGCTCATGTTCAATTCTGTGACACTGTGGCCCCCAAACAGTACCAGAGGTGACATCCCCTTCCCCAAAACACAGAGTCAGGAATAGCTCCTGAGCTCTACCAGATGTGGCCCCTAAAAGCAACATAAAATAAAATGAGTAAATGTGTTTTAGAGATGTCTTGTGTGAGCACTGGAACCTTGCATTTATATTGTGTTATTGGAAGCTTTCCAGAAATAAGTGTGGTTATGCAGTCAGTTGATTCTGAAAACTTCTGGTTTGTTTTATCAGCTAGATTCAACATCACTTCTCTCTGAGGAACAGTTAAGGTATCTTTTGGAGGAATGCACAGTCCAAGAAAAATCTATAGTCCAATTTTCTTCAGAAAGAGAAAAGGAAGCCATGGAGGATGGAGTACCCAAGTTACCCTTGCTGTCAAGATCTGCCCTCTCTGAGCTACTTAATGGGTCAGAAGTTCGGATCAGAAGCACTGAGGTAGAGGTCGCAGACAAGAGCACAGAAGATGCCTCTGTCGGCTACTATCTCACCAAAGCCTTGACTGGGTGTTCCATTTCACCAACTCTAGCCATCGAAGCCAAGAACATGGAATGCCTCCAGTTTTCCCAGGATGAAGTTACTGCTGACACAGCTGACTATTTTATGTTGAAGACTCTTGGCATTGGGAGACTGAAAAGGCCCTCTTTCTTGGATGATCCACTGTATGGTACCAACACGAACCTTTCATCTGAAGACCATCATCTGAACCCAAGTTCTCCAGACACACCCAAACCAGGTGAGAGTGGGCATTTTAGTGAGTCATTTTCTTAGTATATATCTTCATATGAAGGTAACATTTAAGAAGAAGAGGATAAGGAGGTTGTTTTGTAAGTTACAGATATGTCAAATAGAAGCCTGTTAACAGGAAAACTTTGCTTATCAATATTTGTTTAAAACAATCATATTTAATGTTTTAAATTTGTTAAACAAATTTGTCTAACATTTGTTTAAATTAATCACATTTTTTTGTGGTTATCTAGAAAACAATGTGGATCTCTGAGGAAAAGAGAAATTGGTTTCAATGGAGACCAGTGGTTTGAACAGATTTTCTTAGTATTTCAATTTCAAAATTATCAGTGATAAAATTTATTCTGGGCATTCATTGTGTACTAAAGACCCCAAGTTTGATCCCAGCACCACATGACCCTCTATGTAGTGTCGGGGTGGTCCTGGTAGCTCCCAGTATCACCAAGCCAGGCACTGAATCATCCAACCCACATAGGTGAGCCAGGTATCCATGGAAGGTGCCCAAACTCTCGCTCCCCCAAGGCTTGTTCTAAGAAATGAATTTTTCAGATGCCACAGATTATTGTGGTTCTCTTAGTTTCTGTATGAAAACTTTTCCAGCTTTCAGATTCTCAGCCATTTTTCATGATCAACCCATGTTTAAACTCTAAGGACAGCAGCTAGCATTAACAAATATCTGGTTGTTTATCTGTTAGAAGTTCAAGGCAGACAGCCAATGGCCTTCTTCATGCTGTGACCCCTGAATGAACTTAAGCATCCCATCACTGGTAGAGGTAGGGACCTGTTAATGTAGAATTAATATTACAGAGGAGCTAAGAAGCCACGTTGGAGGAGTACAAGGAGGAAGACAGGGGCACTGACTTATTCTGAGGCAAGATCTGAGTGAGCAAGAAATTCCATTTGGCCCCACATGCACCGAAGGGGTGACTGCTTCTTCTGCCCACAGGGAGATTGGTGGAGGGTGGGGAGAGGAGTGGAATGTGTCCTCAATCTAAATTTCTCCATGTGGAAGTTCAAAGAGCATGGTGGCCAGTGACCTTTGGTATGACTGAAACTTGGAGACAGCTGAGGACACTGAAACACGAGCCAATAAGAGTCTCGTCTACTTTTCTGTCCTATTACCTTAGGTTGGATTATTTCCTAGAGAAAAGAAGAGGCATGTCTGCATGGAAAATTTCTTCTTTTCGCCACCACATACTTGAGCTAGCCTTTGATATGAATTTATGTAATACACAACACAATATGAATATCAACAAAAATAGTAGAATAGGACCCCAGAAGGACATGGAGTCATTTGCCAAAATTAAGAAAGGGGACAGAACTGACATAATTGTTGAAGGATAACAAAATAGGATTTCCCATAGGACCTATTTAGTGACATGTTTCAAGACTTTTCTGCAATGAATGCACCCATGAGTGAGATAAATTTGTTTCTAAAAAGAATGCCCCGAGATGAAAATGAGGGTGGCCTCTGCCCTGGTGTGCTGGGGCATATCATGCTTTCACCGCTGAGTGTCCTGCACCCTGGGAAGTCCTGGGGCCCTGGCAAACAGGGATGGTTGGTCACTCTAAATTGAAAAGGAAAACAGAAGACCAAAGAGCAGTTACTTACTCAGAGGCCAAAAGCAAACAAACGAAAATCCAGGAAAGCTGTAGGACCTTGAAAAGCAGAGGGTGTGGGCCTTAACATACCTCCCCCAACCCCTAGCCCCCACCCCTCACTCTCATCCCCAGCGTGATCAGGCTGAGGTCATTCATGTTTTAAATCCTCGCTCTGTTGCTTGCAAGTGATCTCAGGCAAGTGACTTAATTGTTCTCCTCTGCACTTACAGGCAAGGAAATTCCTCTCTGTTTCCTTGCCTATAAGAGGACCTTAATACTTTAGGTTCAAATGAGAAAACCCACACAAAATGATTAGGCCAGAGACTGGACTTGGTTGGCTTATTAATCTGGCATTTAACATTTAATTGGAGATTTTTCTTTTAAATGTCTGCAATTCCGGCACTGCTGATGGAGCTGAGTAACAGATAAGCCCATTGGAAGAGGCATGTACTCTGCTCAGGACTTGTTCCTGCACCTGGCCCTGTTTTCTGTGCTTAGCCTCTTGCAGTCATGTGACTATCATCTGACATTATGAGCTCTTGATGCTTGCAGTGTGGCTTGATGGGGGTGCTTATTATACTTGCTTTAAAGCTCTGCTCCAAATCTCCACATTCAGAATTTGCATCTTAATAAGATCCCAGTGGTAACAGTCAAGTTTTGAAAGATTCTTGGATTGCAGACACATTGTTGCAATCAAGGTAAGCACTGGGTTCATGGGGGAAGTTGTGCTTTTGTTGTCCTGTTGACTGTTTAGAGTCTATGTCCACTCAAAGTTAGCCAGAGTTTCAAAAGGTTGGAATGTTCATACTGACATTAATGTAAACTCTAAGGTTTCAATAAAGGAATACAGATTTCAGTTGTAAGAACACTAGTTATGTTATTTGCTGAGGTTCTTAGAACAATTCTTGCCAACAATGTTAGAACATTGTTCTACATTAGAACATGTGCCAAGGTTCTGCCCATCCAAAGGTCTATTTGATTGCAACTTTCTGGAGAAAGTCTGATTGTAGGTAAATTTACTTTTGGAAACACTATTACAGTGATTTGACGGGTGTGTTTGTTGGTATATGCCATTACTCATGCCACCTGAAGGGTTTCAAAGGCAGTAGATTGTTTTGAAAAACTTTTCTTTGTTGTAAATAATCTTATGGGTTGGAAGTAGAACAGTGAGAATCTAAAAATAGTAACTCTATTTGTTGATTTTTTCCCATTAAAAATAATTTGGTTTGCTAATAAGGAAATATGTAACTTATCTTTGCCTTGATTGGAGTTTTCTTAGTTCCTCCAGGTCTTCTGGTTATTATTTGTTAAATTACTTTACCAGGGTTATTCATTACTTCTCAGGTGCTCTGAGTGACCTACACAACCCTCCTCTTTCTTGGATCAAAATCTAGAGCTGCCATATCAGAAATTTCTAGTGTGAATTCCCCTATTACAAATGTATGGGCACTTTCTATTTAGAGAATTTACCTCTTTGTTACTTTCAACAAATTTTCTTTAAACAAATTCTTGCTGTAGACGTCTCTTGTAAATATTTGCCATTATTTTCTCTGTCTACTTAGCGACATTACCTGGGAACTTGTTAAAAATGCAAAACCTGAGACTCTGCATCAGACCTGCTCTGTTAGAGTCTGTTTTAGCAAGCTACCCCATGCAGGTAACAGCATGCATCTGCCACGTGGGCAATTTCTGAAGTGGATAGTTTATTTGTCACTGGAATGGATTCTATTTTGGTTGGGGGCCATAACTGCCAGAGCTCAGGGCTTACTCCTGGAAGGGCTTGAAGGACCATGTGGGGTGCCAGAAATTGAACCCAGGTCAGCTGTATGCAAGGCATATGCCCTACCTACTGTATTATTACTCTCGCCCCCTGGACTTTAGGATTTTAAACCATCATCACCACTCCCACCTGGAGAGTATGTAATGGTAAAAATCATATCCAGACCATGTTCTCTTCCCCATCTGCTCAGCCCTTGCTTTTACTCCTCACATTTTATTTATTTTCATTTGGAGGCCACACCTGGCTGTGCTTAGAAATCACTCCTGGCAGTGTTCGGGAGCACATATGTAGGACCAGGAATTGAATCGGGGTTGGTTGCAAGGCATTTGCCTTGTCTCCCATGTTATCCCTCCAGCTCTTATATTTATTTTAAGAAACAACCAGCCGCGCGACATCTTATTACGTCATTCCTACTTTGGACAAACTTGCAGGCTATCCGAATGTAGCCTGCCCACAGGGCAGAGTCTGGCAAACTCCCGTGGCCTACCAAATATGCCAAATACCAGTAACAATGATGGGTCTCATTCTCCTAAAGAGCCGTGAATATAATCTCAGGGCTAGGATGAAAGAGACGTTACTGGGGCCTGCTCGAGGCAATCGACGATTAACAGGATGATGAATGAATGAAAAAAGAAACAACCAATCTCTCTAATGATTCCTATTGTTCTTCCTTGAGGTAGCCCTCCCTCTAGCCTTTGAGACCATGGATGTCCTAGCTGGGAGTTATCACCTCTTTAATTTTAATACTTCACTTGAAACATATATGGTCAGTAGGGGCACATCTGTGCTTTGTATACTTTCAATCTTCAGATCTTTCTTGGCAACCTCCTTAAATTCACCAAGCCTTTTGAACTTTTTTGTATCCATCCACTAGGCATTTCTTTATGAACTTTATATACACATTAGACTCATCTGGTGAGATATAAAACAAATTAATGCTTTGGCTCCTTTGCAGATGAGCTAAGTCAGTTTCTAAGGGTAATCCTATTTTTCAAAGGTGGTACTGGAAGATGGGGGTCTGTGTGAATCTGTTCTGTGGCCATACTTTAAAACCATGGCCCAAAGGCTTTCTTGGATTTATTTCTCATTCCTGTACCACCCATCCATCCCACACACATTTCATGAGTTTCTCTTCTGTTACATGTTTTTCAAGTTTCGAACAGAATTTCTCAACTTTGGAGCAATGGACATTTGGGGGCTAGTTATTTCTTGGTTGTGAGGGTCTGTCATGCACATATAGAACATTTAATAGCATTTCTGGACCCCTGCTCATTCTGTGCTAGAAGTTTTCCCCAGTTTGTGACAATCAAAATTGTCCTCAGACATTGTCAGAATTGTCTGGGTCATATTTTCCTGCAGATAAATATGGAAGGAAAGAAGTTGTTATAGTATAGGAAGTGAGTAGGACAGAATCACTGTTCTGAATTTTTCATAGTTCTTCGGATGAAGGCAGGCACTTAACCAGATAATCCCAGCAGGGCAGAACAAGAGTACAAAGAGTATTAGGACAGACTACATGGCAGTGCTACAGAGGGAATGATGGCCAGTGGGAGATGTGCTATTGGCGAAGTGGGCCTCCAAAGATAAGCACACATGAGCTGGGTGGACAAGGAGAACATTACAGGGAGAAGGAAGGGCCCAGAGGTGTGGGGTCACAGCCAGTATCTGCATTTCATACTTGGGATATGTAGTCTTTTCCCCATCCATTCCACCGTGCTTCCCGTCCTGCTATAGTAGTTCCTTTCTTTATGTGTTGCTCTTATGACATTTCTCATTCATATCTCTGAAATGTCAAATCAGTTCCTCTTAATTAATAGGTTGATTTTTTAAAAGAGCTTTGTTGAGACATATGTTATATACCCGCATTAATTCCAGTGTTTGGCACCACTAGTTATCACCACAAAAATCTGTTCACAATTTTCTAGACTTGAAGTCTGGGACCATGTGCCAGTGAGGCCCACGCTCTGTCTGGAGGCTCTGGGGGAGAATGCTTCTTGGCTGCTTGGTGTTTTCCAGGCTGTTGATGTTCAAGGATTCCTTGCCTTGTGGCCACATCACTCCAATTCCTCTCTCTTGCCCTCCTACTTCCTCTCCTCCCCCTGCCCCCTCTCCATCTGTCTTTCTTATCTGCCTCTGCTTTTTTTTCCATAAGGTCATTTGTTTTTTGAAGATAGTGCCCACCCAGATAATTCAGGATGATCTCTTCAGCTAAATATCCTTCCCCTAATTACAGTTGTAAAGATCTTTTCCAAAATAAGGTAGCTTTTACAGCTTTTGGTGATTAGAATGTAGACATAACTATGCTGGGGTAAGGGTTTAAGACTATACTATCAGTGGTTTTTGGTATATTAAAAGAATTGTGCCTCCATTAAAGCTCTCTTACCATATTTGCCTTGCTGCTCAAAGAAAGACTGTACCCATTATCAGTTAGTTCCCATTTTTTTCTACTGTCCTCTCACCCTAGGAAATCACTATTCTGCTTCCTGCCTTTGTGAATTTGCCTAGCCTAAAATTTTCATAATAATGGAATCATGGATTTAATGACTTCTTGTGGCTGACTTTTTTTTACCTTTGGTAAAATAGTTTCAAGGTTCACCATGTGTGAACATGTTTCTATATTGTTGAGAAATATTCCATTGCATAGATATACCACAGTGTTTTTGTTCATTATTGATGGATGTTTGGGTTGTTTCTACTTTTCATCTACTACATAAAATGCTGTGAAAAATATTCACATACAGATTTTGGCATGGCTGTATGTTCTCATTTTCCATGGGCATATGCAAAGAAGTAAAATTACAAGGTCATCTGATAACCTTTCAGTAACTCCCAGTCTTTTCAGCAACAGTTGCACTCTTTTACAATCTTACCAGCAGTGTACAGGGTTATAGTATGTTCTGATTACCTTACATTGTATTCTTCATTTCTGTTACATTTTTAAATGAACTTTTCACTTTGGTTAGAAGAAAATGTCCACTTCATTTGTGAGTGTCCCATTCTTTTATTCTCACATAGTTCTAAGCTACTTTAAAAAGGAGCATTTGTTTTGATTTTACTTTACTTCCCCACAACTTAGCATCAAAACTACTATTATTTTCTTTGCACTATCTTCAAACTCAGAGCTGGAGAGATAGTTCAGTGCATTGAGTGCTTGTTTTGCATCTCATATGATCCCCAGAGCCTGTCAGGAGTGATCACTCAGCATAGAGCCAGGACTAAGCCCTGAGCTAGCACCACCAGGTGAGAACTCTCCCCTGGGGAAAAAAAACTCAAACAAATAAAATTTATAATGATTTTAGTTCTCAAAACCCAAAAAGTTCTACTTTAGCTATAGTCTCAATCAACACAGGGCAGACTCCTTATCTTTCTCACTCTTGTAAATATAACATGTAGCTTGGTAACTTTCCAAAAATGTCAAATGAGAATGTGATTATTGTCTAAAGTGTGAAGGATTTAGTGTTTTATAGGTGGAATGGTTTTTCTCTTAATTATTCACACATTTCTGAGTGATTAAAATTTTGGTAATTGTTTTTAATGTGCAGATGAACAGGGGACTGAAGATGTCATAAAAGAACGTCAAGAATCTGAAACAAAAACTTGCTGGGTGTGATTCTGAGAAAGTTGGTAACAAGTAAAACTCCATTTCTCCCCAAGTTCTTTGACTTCACTGAATGCATAGAAGAAGACTGTTCTCAAATAATGATTTTAATTTTGGGGGCCTTACATTTTTTTTCTTTTTTCTGACTTGTAATTGTTCACTAGTTTTTATTCATTAAGATTCTTTGGAATATTGTAATTATTTTTTAAATTTCAGTCTTACAACATCAGGAACACAGTAAAGAAACTAACAATTTGTGTATGTTTATGAATTAAATATAGTCAAAGTGCTATGATTGTTTCATGTTTGATTTTGTGTGTTTCACAGATTTCATCAATGGCTGTTTTTCTTCTGACTCTGTTTATCCGCCCCCTCTCTCTAATGCCTTAAGTACAAGTTGCCATAGAATGAAATGAATTTCCTCAACAAAGCAGAAATTAGGATGTTAGTCTATATTATCTTAGTAGCAGTGACACTTTCTTGGTTTATTTGGGTGGCTGAGTGGGGGGTGCTTGGGGGGGGCATACCTGGTTGTGCTCAGAGACTATTCCTAGCTCCGTGCTCATGAGTGGTCTTCATAGGACCATATGTGGTACAGGTGATTCAAAGGAAGTCGGCCTTGCATATCAAGAGCAGAGGGGGAGGTTTATTTCTAGTAATGTCCCTCTTACACAATAACACTTTTCTTAAGCAGGACTTTAAATTATTTAATATATTATTTTCAGGCGAGCTGGAGCAATAGCACAGCGGGTAGGGCTTGTGCCTTTCACACGGCCGACCCAGGTATGATTCCTTTGTCCCTCTTGGAGAGCCCAGCAAGCTATCGAGAGTATCCCACCTTCATGGCAGAGCCTGGCAAGCTACCCGTGGAGCATTGGATATGCCAAAAACAGTAACAACAAGTCTCACAATGGAGACGTTACTGGTGTCTGCTCGAGCAAATCGATGAACAACGGGAGGGCAGTGCTACAGTACTACAGTACTATTATTTTCAGTCATTATTTTTTCAGAATTTGCTCTTTTGAGTATTCAGTGAAGATCGGTCATTTAAAATCTGTGGAATTCAGAGGATTTGTATATTTACAAGTCAGTAACCTGGATGCAAGTCAAAATTTTCTTCTAATAGACCATACAATGAATTGGCATCAGAACTGGAAATCTACTTTATTTGTAATTCAATAAATGAGCTAAGTATTATACTGTCTTCAGTGAACTTTGGAGTAATATATATGTAGCATGATTTTTTACTCCTTAGTACAGTTTCATGTCCCTTTGCTTCTGATATTAGCTAATGTTAATGACTGTGCTGTGTCAAAGTCCCTTCATTTTTAAAATATAGAATTCTTAAGCTATTATTTTCAGAAAGTTCCATAGGTAATTTATTTTTCCAGGTTTCTCTTCCGGTTTCCATTAAAATAGCAGTGGCTTGGGGCTGGAATGATAATTTGGCAGATAGGGTGTTTGCCTGCCTTGCATGCTGCCAATCTGATATACTAAATGGTCCCCCAAGCTCTGGCAGTAGTGATCTCTGAGCACAGAGCCAGAAGTAAGCCATGAGCACTGCCATGTATGACCACAAAACAAATATATAAAATATCAATTGTTTATGCTGAATTCAATGTACTACAGTGCACTTTATCTTAATAGCAAGAGTTTTGCTATAGCGTCAGAAGTTAAAAATTATGATTTTGTGCATTGATAATGTATAATCTCTGGGCGGCTAGGGAAGGCCCCGAGAGCTCTCCCCCTTGCTGCCTGGGCTGGGTGGTCTCTGGCCGCTCCCCCAGCCAGGGTGGCCCATGCATGGGGCAGATGGAGGAGGAAACAAGGGCCAAGTCGGTTGGTTGATCAGTTGCCGTTTATTCCATTCTCCCCATGCTCCTATTCCAGTCTCTTTGAGCCCCCCATTCTAGTCTCACACTTCCCCTCATTTCCTTCTCCTCCTGTCTCTCCCACTCATCTTTCTGTGCTCCATCTTGCTTCCTGCTCTCTCTCCCACCTCTTCCAATATTCTGGTCTCTCTAGAACTCATCTCTACATGCCTAGCACTATGGGCCAAGGATATAACCAGTCTGGGTAGCAAAATCAACATAAGAAAGCCCTTCCTGACTGCCCATCATGCTTAAGGGCAGAAACACCACCTAGGGGTATTCCTCTTCTCCTTAGTCCAATAACTTAATTAACATCTTAATTCTGCTTCTTCATATTAGTTATTTTTGTAGGGACACAGCAAAAGATACTTTGAGGCCTGTAGGGCTGCTCTCCTGGCAACATCTTGCCACAGACTCATACTACAGTACTCAGGCCAGATTAATCATTCCTAAACCTAGCAGGGTCCAAATCTAGTTATTACTTTTTGGATCATGACAGAATTTGTTCATGACCATGCTCTAAACTTATAGTTAAGCATTATAACACTTCGACTAGGCCCATCTTGATGCCAGGACAGCACATAGCTCACCACTTGCCCTGGGTTCATCCAGTCCCTCGATGAAACCCTGCTTTTGGGGGTAGTAGGAAGTTAGGGCAACTGAGGCTTAAATCAGAGAACAGATATCCAGGAGGTAAATATCATTCAGAGTCAATTAACTCCCAGGTTACAACAGCATAGCATTACTTGTCTTATTGTGTCCATACAAAAAAGACATTGCTCTAAATTAACTATGCAAAGGACTTAAGGAAAAGAGAAAAAATATTTACAAGTTAATAGAGCACAAAAAAAGAAGTTACAAATGAACACAGAGGAATGGGAGCACTGTTATGAGAGTAACCAATAAACCTAAGCTTCCTGTGGCAAGGTGGAAAGGACAAACTAATGTTATCCTACAGATAGGAATGATATATTACTTGTGCATGTTGCAGGATTTTGGCCAGAACAGTCAGGGAAGAAGTGGTATGTGTGGAAAATTGAGTAGTGGAAGAGTGGATCCATCTTTCACCTCAGCCTGGAGGGCGTAGACAGGGAGAGAGGAGGAAGGGAGAGGGAGAGGAAGAGGAAAAAGAGGGGGAGAGAGAAAGAATAACAGAGAAGGGGGAGAAGGAGACAGTGGGAGAGGGAGAGGAGAGACAAAGAGACAGAGACAGAAGGGGGGGGGAGAGAGAGAGAGAGAGAGAGAGAGAGAGAGAGAGAGAGAGAGAGAGAGAGAGAGAATTCCTCCCCAAATTCCCACCCAACTTTCTAATTTTGAGGGTGGAGGTGAGGAGATAGCTAGCTTTCATATTATATGAATTCATGAGAGGGATCATAAGGAATGAATTTGACCATAAAAGTAAGTGTACTTTGTTTTTTTAATGTAAAGACCTCTTTAGTATGACACCATTACATAACATATAACACATCAACTAAAGGTGCTTTTTACAGAACTGCTAAGATGATTTAAAATACAATTCCACACAAAGGCTCTAGATTCAAAACCAAACCAAGCCAAAACAACGGGCATAAACTGTCACCCTGAAAGGGAAAAAGTGGATTTGTAAAGGGAAAAAGTGGATTTGTATTAAAATTAAGGCTTTTGCTTTGTTTTTTATGGTGGGAGTTTGTTCCATACAGCCATGCTCAGGGCTTACTCCTGGCTCTAGGCTCTGATATTAATTCTCTCCATGCTCAAGGTACTCAGGGGATGCTGGGGATCGAACCTGGGTCAACCATTTGCAAGGCAAGAGTCCTATCAGCTGTACTACTGCCCTAGCCACAGGGCTTTTGTTTTAAGATAGCTTCTAGTCCCAAATGTGTGCTCCTGAACACTATAGAGAAGAAAATGAATGTATGATGGAAGTAAGAAAGTAATTTGAAACTCACTTTAGAAATGGATTTCGAAGTTTCTAAATTTTGAGTTTTTCCTTCTTCTGACTTCAGGAGAAAACTGCTAGCACATGAAAGTAGACAAAGAACCAAAAGTGATGGCCTCTCGGTATCTGTGCTGCAAACCATAATGCCCCAAAGTAGAGAGAGTATGTGGGAAATTGTCTGCCATGGAGGCAGGGGGAGGGTGGGAAAGGGGGGCTATACTGGGGAGATTTGTGGTGGGGAATGTGCACTGGTGGAAGGATGGGTGTTTGAACATTGTATGATTGTAACTCAAACATGAAAGCTTGTAATAGTATCTCATCATGATTCAATAAAATAAAAATTTTAAAAAAAAACTGCTAGCACAAGTTTTATTATAAATTTCCAAGGAACCTAAAGTTGATTGTCCTTCAATCTAACTCTGAAACTCATGACAATAAAATCTTGTAGGAGGAAAAGACTGTTAACTTGATAGCATAATTCTAATTTTTAACAAGATTTTTATTTTAATACTTTTATTTAATGCTGATTTGAAGGTCAGTCTCAGTAAACACAGAACTAACCTGGGAACAAACACCTGTTCTCCAGTAGCAGCACATCTTTCCCATCCCATCTTGGTGCTTTTAGTTTGTTTTGGTTTAGTAGATTTGAAGTTTTTTTCCAACACATCACACATTTGGCTTCTCTGAGAATTAATGGTGCCTCATAATTAGAAGAATTCTTCTCTTTCTCGTGCCTAGGGACACTCAGGGGCTACTTTTGGTTCTGTGTTCAGGGGTCACTCCTAGAGGTGCTTGGGGGAACTGAACATGGGTACAGGGGTTGAACTTGGGTTGGCCCCATGCAAGGCACAGATAACTCCTGTGCTATCTGTCAGGCCCCAGAGATTATTCCTTCAAATCAGTTTTCCCAACTCTATAACCATTACCAACAGCTTCCAGTTTTTGATATTTCACCTGCGACCCATAGAACAATTTATACCTGCCTATGATTATGTTCTCTCAGATAAGTGTTATTCAAACGAGAGAAAAGTTAACAAGTGAGGAAGGTTCTGTCTTATACAACCGGTTCTTTCTCACAGCAAAGCCTGACCTTCAACAAATATTCATAACACTTCGTATTCTCTGTTCCAACTACAACTAGAAATTAGTTTGTCAGTATTAGATATTCATGGACAGACTGCCTGAATCCCAAGGCCAGTTTACTGTCACGGAAAAATTCAATAATTTTTATGGATATGAATTTCAAGGATTCTTTTTTCATTCTACCTTTGTCTATGTCATTTGCTTTTGACAAAAGTCTATCTAGTTTCCAAAAGTTGGTACGTAAGTGTTTCAAAGACAGTTCTTCCTTCATTAACATTGACTTCCAAGACTTCCGTGTATCGTGTAATGGTGTGACCCACCAGTGCCCGCATTTGAGGGTTCCGAAAACTTTGTGTGTGCTTCATGCCTATTTCCCCCTTTGTTTCCACGGTTCCTTTTAAAATAGAACTGGACTTTGGAAAGGATTCAGTGAATGATATTAGTCAAATATGAAACTGCAACCTCGTTGAGGCCCACATTCTTAGAGATCCTTTCATGGCCATGTGTTTTTAATATGGAAGGCTCATTTGTTGTTTTGTTTTTTTTCCTCCAAGCAGCAAATGCATATTTGAGGCCTGAGCAATTCAGTTTCTCCAAATGGTATAGGAACTGTGGCTCTCACTCTTTCGTACTATCCTTCCTTCCTTTCTTTTTCTTTCTTTCTTTCTTCCTTCCTTCCTTCCTTCCTTTCTTTCTTTCTTTCTTTCTTTCTTTCTTTCTTTCTTTCTTTCTTCCTCTCTCTCTTTCTTTCTTTTTGGTGGATGCTTTATTGGCTTAAGAATGGAATTTTGAGGGCCTGAGAGATAGTACAGGGGTTAAAGTGCTGCTTTGTGACCCACCCTGGTTTGATTTCTGGCACCATATATTTTCCCCTGAACACAGAGCCAGGAGTAAACCCTAGTGTTTCTGGGTGCAACCCAGTCCTCCCCCTTCAAAATGGAATTTCCCTCTACCTCATCGTGTGTGGCCAGTAGGGAACAAATAAACATGGAAACAGTAAGTATAAATATAAATTTCCATATGATTTATTGTTGTTCCTTATGTAAGAAACAGTAATATACAACTTATTACACTGCTTTAAGAATGTAAAATGGATAAAAATGTGTACAAAATAGCCATTCCTAGAAAAAAGATATTGGCAAATAGTAAAAACTGGGAGGGGATTACAAGCAAAAAACAAATTTAAAAAAAGAGAAAACCAACAATTCTTCAATTCAGTGTGCAAACATTTTATAAAAATAGAAATACTAACTCTACAGGCAGTATTTCCTGATAAATTATTTAAATAGCATATCTACACACTCTGAGATAACTATTCCAATGGCAATGAGAAAATAATTTATAAAAATAAAGCAATGGTATACAAGATAGAAAAAATGTAACTTTCAGAAATTGTATTTAACATTTCAATGCTATTTTCTTATTGGGAATACTTTTCTGCAAAGAATTTTTATACTATGTACAACATTGACGTTTTTAGGTACTACAGTAGCTTTAAGTTTGTTAGACACTTAAACTCTTTCTGCTTGATCCCAAAATTCTTTACTCAGTCACACAACAAATGAGGTAATATTTGTATATAAGTTTCACCATTGTCATTTTTTTTCTTTTGGAAAATGAAAAAAAAAGTGTAGATGCTTTTCTTCTCCCTGGACATAGGCACGAGAAATGGGGTCAAACAGTATTAAGGGCCTGATCAGTTCTTTGCAATCTAAAAGCATTTGCAAATGGACAACCAACTAATTCCGCCTGAAAAGACAGAAGAGAAAAGAATTCCAGCTCATTCACTCAAAGCACAAAGGGGAAATCAGCTCCTCTCTGCTGCTTCTCCTTGTGCCTGTCCTTAATAGAGATTTGTGAATAAATCTCCACTCTCTCCTCTCAAAGCACTTTTCATCTGAAACCTAGATGTCAGGTAGAACAGAGTTAATAAATAAATCTGTATTTACAATCTTACAGTCATAAGCAGACTCCTAACAAAGGCGATTTGGAAAGTCCTTATGTTTCTTTCCCCCTGTTCCATGGAGAGTCCTTCAGACAGATCTTCCAAAATAAGTGAAAAATAAATATCTTACACTGTAAAGCATTTGTAAAAGACACGACAAAACTGCAGTCTGAAAAAGAGAATTGGAAAGCCCCTTGGTTCAGGACAAAAGAGAGAGAGAAAGATCAGGAATGTTTGCGTTAGTAATTTTGTGCCTTTCTAACCATAAAAATACAAGCACGGCTGCCTCTCCTGGGGGAGGCAGTGTGGTGCTCGCTGAGATGGTGGGTTTTCTTATTTTCCCTGCGACATCTCTCATAAGACCAAGTTTCCAACAGTTTCACTGAAAGCAGGCAATGGCAACCTCTACCCTGTTCAACTACAGGTAATTTGTAAGGGGCGGGAGCAGGGGAGAAGTCCAGAAGCCTGTCTGCTCCTCTCTCCCTGCTTCTCCGTAGGAGCCTATTTATGCAGGTTAATCAGCTAACGCCAGTCAGCGTCATGAAATCCAGCAATAGTCCTTCAATCCCCTGAAAATGATTTAGTACCAAACATGTAACGGTTCCTCCATAGTTTTTTTCTTCATACAGTTGTCTTGTGGATATGCACCCTTTCCCCTAGGGCTTTGATTTCTGCTTCCCCTTTTCTGGAGGGAGTCAGACAAGGGGTGGTTTCGTAGGCTAATTCTGTGGAGTCCTCCCTTTTCTGAAGTGCCTGAAAAACGCTGTTCAGTCCGTTGCTCATAGGCGGCCTCACGATAGCACCCTGCTCCGTGACAGAAGCTGAGTGGAGAAGGGCCCCTTGCAGCTGAAATACGCGGATGCTTTTGCAAAAGCTCACCGAAGTAATTGTTTATATTATTGGAAGATTCTTTCCTGGTTCAGAGGCTGACTGCTGAGTGTTTTGGAAAATTGCATTTTCTTGACGCAAGTCACATGATCTAGGAGTTCACACTGATTCAAGCAGAGAAAAACAAGGCAGGCAGGGAGGAGTGATCCTGGGGTTTTTCACAAGCCCGTGGTTCCAGAAGGTACCAATACCAGTATCGATTAAGGTCTAGTCTTTTGGCCAACAGTTTGATGATTAGGAATCTGTTACAAGAATAAATGAAGACATGTATGAACAAAAACAGATTCACAGTATAGCCTTACTATCAGTTAATCTAGGTATGTGGTTTTATTTCATGATGATGAAAGTATGATTTAAGATTGTTCAAACACACCAAGTTTTAATTTGCTAAGCTGAGAAATATAAATATCTGGGAAAAATTAAGCTTTATTATTATTATTATTATTATTTTTTTAAACTCTGGTTGTGTAGGCATCAGCATTGGCCCATTAAGTATTTGTTAAGCACTTAGTTTTGTGGTAGGCTTGAGGCTAGAATCAGTGAGCACTGAACCACTGAGTGAAACACAATAGAGAAAGGAGCCCAGGTAAATAGTGAAAATTAAATTAGCATGCCAACAAAGGGAAATGCCATTTCTTCTTTTCATATATAGGGAGAGGTTATTAAAGACAGTGTGTTACAGTGACATAAAAAAATCATTTGTCATGTGTAAGCTGTACAAACAATGAAAACTTGTAATTATTACATGGGCTTAACTCTACAAGAGCTTGTCTGCTTAGGCAAACTAATGTGGTGCATAAGGACCTAGGATTTTCTAAGTCACAGTCCATGGGAATTATTTTTTTATCATTATGAGTTCAAAGGTAAGATATTAATAACCCTTCTCTAGAATTATCTTCCAATCATTCCCCCATAATTGGCCTTCTTGGTATTGGTCTGATTCAGAGTTGTCAATCATGCATTCATTGAAAAGCTGCACCTACCTCTGCATTCGTATTTCAGGTCAGAGAAGAAAACCATTTCTTGAGAGAAGACAAACAACCCGAGTCTACCACCAGCATAGGTTTTGTCATAGATGGGTCCTGAGTCAGCCATGATTTTCTTCCCCTCATACATTACCACTCTGTAGGGTTACAAAAGAAAACTCATTAGTGACACCCCTATTTTCTCTTCTCTTACTCATTGCCCTTTAGTGAGAGTGTGGGTAAGACCCAGCCAGCACAATCTTACCTGATGAAACCTGTCTTTGGCCTGTGGCTCAGACGCCATCGGTAGGCAGTGAAATCCTTCCAGCCAATGTTACGGGGGTCATGCCACAGGGTGCGCACCTGAAGGAAAAGAAGAGAGAGGCTTGAGAAACTGCTCCATCGTGAGATTTATGTTTTGTTACAGATGGCATAGAGTTTAGAAAACACCAGGTGGACCTAACGTGGAGGATTGTAGGATTTTCTCCAACGCCTCTTTACTTGTTGTGTGCCCTCAAACATACAGAGAGAACAGAGAGAAAGGAAAGGAGCAGGCCAAAAGTGCCTTTGGATTTCAAGGGCAATTTGAGAATGACAGAGACACTCATGTTTTCATAAAGGAGAGCCTGAAGCTGCAGCAGTGACTTGGGATATCTGAGATCCCAGATGGGAGTCCTGGGCAAAGCCTGGCATTCCATGTGCTTTCCCTTCCATGGGACAGTGCTTACCTGACCAGGGGTATTGCCTGTGTGCCACAGGGCATTCCGCAGGTGCTCGCCAGGCCCCGTGGTGGAGTTCACGACTTTCACAGAAAGACCCGAGTAGCCCTGAGCCTTTGTGGGGTGGGTGTCCCAATAGGTCTGTGTGATTTGCTTCCACATCACAACATAGAAGCGGCTGCTGGACTGGTAGCCGAAGACAAATCCGGCATAGTCATCATCCCGCTCGGTGTTAATGAAGAAAGTGCCACTAAAGTCCACGGCGTTGAACTCATCATAGCCTGGAAGAGGAAGGCAAACCCAGGTTAAGCCCTCCACCCTTCAGAAGTCCTAGGTTAGTATTCCCCATCATCCTGAGATGCACAGGGACACCTACAACTGCAACATTTTATAGCTGTTTCCCTTTTGCTGTCACCACTTGAGGATTGACCCTTTGTTCTCAGAACTCACTACTCACCTACAGCAAGTCCAGGATCACAGTTGACAGTCTGGACGAGCTCTTTACCCTGATGACGTACAACCCAGTTAGGGTCATTTTGGGATGTCCCTTTGGGATCTAGAGGAATCATCTGGAATCGGCGGAAATCAGTCTCACTGATATCAACATTTTCAGGACAGATGTCATCAATGTCTGGCACACTGTCATGGTCAAAGTCATCTTTGCAAGCATCCCCTCGACCATCACCTGAGGGCAAAAAGGGCAAGAGTTCAGTGACATCCTGAACACTTATTGGCATCAGAGATCCATGGTCTTGTCAAAATTGGCAAGCAGTCACTTCATCCTCTCAAAAACACACCAGTCTCTTTCTCTGGCCCTGACGGCCATGGTTTTAGTCACACTCTTAAAATGTGGCTGGACTGACTCACCATCAGAGTCTTTCTGGTCGGGATTGGGCACCAGCCTGCAGTTGTCCTTGTCATCAGGAATGCCATCATTATCGTCATCATGATCACAGGCATCTCCCTTGCCATCTTTGTCATGGTCAGCCTGGTTGGCATTGGGCACATAGGGGCAGTTATCCAGATTGTTCTGGTGGCCATCTTCGTCAATGTCCTGATTGTTGTCACAGGTGTCACCAATGAGATCTGAGTCAGAGTCGAGCTGAAGGAAGAGAAAAAGGGTCCATATAAGAACAATTCAGTGACCTGCAAAATAACTTATGGGGAACCGTCCCTGTTTGAAGTGATAGAGGGATTTATGTGGGGACCTCTAAAGCACTCACAAAAAAGAGGCTGAGGCTAAATTTCTCATTTAAGTTTATGGAAATATTTCCATTAAAGAAAAGCTGGCTGCTAAGCTTGAAGAACAGTGCTGACGGGAGGGGCCTTAACTCTTCCCCCAGTCAATGACCGACAGTTCCACACAGAAAAAATCCTTTCAGACCCGGAGCTGGTTTGGAAACTCTAGATTTGACACATTCCCTCACCTCCCTTCAGGTGATTTGTTTATAATTTCATATTTTTTGTGGAGAATGACAAAGAGATGGATTTCTCCAGTTTGGTAAAATAAGTTTAGTTTGGTGATTTTCTTATAGCTGGGATTGATAGTTTTCCAGGAAAATGAATTTTAATTTTGCTTAAGATTAGCTCTCCCACCTCCATCTTTTCTGTATGGTTAGTCTGAAATTTCCCTTCAATATACTTTTTCCTAACAGAGCACACTGAGCACGTCATATGGACCATGTATAGGACGACTAAGTTAGAAGATCATCATGTGAATGCTCTATGAGTCTCTGCACTTCAGGCAAGCTGACTCCATGGAAATCTTGCCATTAGCTACAAGCTCCTGAGAAACAAGCAGGGAAAGTGTTCGAGTTCATGAATCTCATTTTCTAGACACCAAGAGAGAGTTGTTCCAGCACCATACTGGAAGATTCTGGAAAGGAGTCCACCTACCTGATCTGGGTTGTGTTCCAGGGGACAGTTGTCACACTGATCTCCAACACCGTCCATGTCGGTGTCCCTCTGGTCCACATTGTAGACATACTGGCAGTTGTCACGCTCATTGAGGATACCTGCAGAGAATGGGAGAAGTAAGAGCTGGAACCTCCAGCCTCACATGTATCACACTAACCCCACCCCAACAGCCAGAGAAGTAGAAGGTTGAGCACATTTGCAAGGGGCCTGGGGAGAACTTACCATCCCCGTCAATATCCACAGCACAGGCGTCTCCTTCCCCGTTCTTGTCGGTGTCTGCCTGGTCTGGATTGTGGTTGTAGGGGCAGTTGTCACAGCGGTCTCCCACATCATCTCTGTCATAGTCATACTGGGCGGGGTTGTAATGGAATGGACAATTGTCCTGCAAAGAGAAGAAACAGCCTTCATGACACTGCCTGTGAGCCCAGCTCAAGCCTTATTCGACATAGAACAAACTGCCTATCTGCAATGAAGATTTTCTACTTAGTGGATGTACTAATTGTTTGGATTTTTTATTTGTTTTGGTCCACACTTGACCATGGTCAGGGATCACTCCCAGCTCAGAGGACCATAGATGGTACTGGGGAATGAAACTGGGTTGGTTTCGTGCAAGGAAAGCACCCACCCTACCCACTGTACTATCCCAGAGGATGTACTAATTGGTGGTGGACATATTACAGAGTGATTACTGCAGGACTTAAAAGCAAGAACATAATGGGAAAAAAAAAAGGATTCCTGCTGGTTACACATAAGTGAGGTGTTAATATAATCTCATCCTCTCCTGTCCCAATATTAGTGAAGTAAATTTTACCACAGGACCTGGGAAATGAGTCTGAGGGGCAAAAGTGGAACTTATATTTCTTTCTCAAGTGGAATTGGACATGATAAAAAAAAACTATTTAAAAATTCTCTTGGCAACATATATACCGCCAGATGACTAAAGAATAGTTTGTGGTCCTTAAACACTAATGAGGAATTTGTAATTATTCCGTGCATCTGTTTGCTCTTCCTCTCCCCATCCCCCAGCTCTCTTAATTTCACAGGGCTTCTTAAAAAGTACTCAGGCTGCTGCTGAACAGAAAAGACAATGAAGGAGAACAGTTTGTCCGTACCCTATCGTCTGGAACCCTGTCATTGTCATCATCATCATCACAGGCATCGCCGATTCCATCTTTGTCATAGTCCTCCTGTCCTGAGTTGGGAAGGTTGGGGCAGTTATCCTAGGAGAGAGCAGACACACGTTGTTGCTGCGGTCTGTATTTGCTTTGCTCAGTCCACGTATAAGGGCACGCCCCCCTTCTACACGGAAAAAGAACCAAGTGCTGCTCCATTAAACATTTTCTTTGAACTTTATAGAGAGAGAAAAATTTGGTCAATGCTTTAGATTTTCTGGGAATATAAGTCACCTACCTCTGGTGTTTGGCAGTGTAGGGAACTTGTTTTTGGACAAAAGAACCAACTATGAAACCATTGCCTGAAAGCCTCCCCAACCCCCATGTTGTTGGCACCAAAGTGGTTTCATATGAATGAGAATTGGTGCCTCTCTGCCTTTGGATGACAGATTCAATTTCCAAACTTTAAGCATTGACAACTAGTTTTCTGATGAGGCAAGGTGCCTTCCTCCAAGGGATGTGCTTAAGGAAAGCCAGTACTATATTTATTTAGCTTTTTGGGTCACATCTGGTGATACATAGGGCTTTGCACTCAGGAATTACTCCTAGTGGTGCTTGGGGGGCCATATGGGATGCTGGAAATTGAACCGAGGTCGGCCGCATGCAAGGCAAATGCCCTACCCGCTGTACTATTGCTCCAGCCCTCAGGTCTACCTTTTTGCAGTGGTAGGTGGCATTGGCCACACACACCAGGTCCTCATTGGGCCAGCCATCCAGGTCTGTGTCCTCTCCGCAGATGATGCCATTGCCTGCATAGCCAGGCTTGCACTCACAGCGGAACATGGGATCACTGTAATGTCCCAGGTAGTTGCACTTGGCATTCTTGTTGCAGTCATGGGTGCCGTCTGTGCAGGGGTTGCGGGGCTTGCACACCTGTAGGAACAACACCTCAATGTTAGCACAGGGCCTGGACGGGTGCCCAGATATAGAGTAGCCACAGAAAACCCAGCTTCCTCCTAGCTTAGTGGACAGAGGCTCCACGGGACAGAATGAATGTGAGTCACCTCTGCCGCTTCTCTTTCCCAGAGTGATCCAGGATATATCTAGGCTAGCAGGGCTCTCTGTGAGTCTTCCTTGAAATGACTCAGCACCCAGGCACTTGCAAATCCTTTGGCTCACAACTTACTTCAGAGCATCACTTTCAAATGTGATGCTCCTGGCTTGGTGCTCATGGTTCACTCCTGGCAATGCTTGGGAGACAATATGTGGTGCCAGGGATTGAATCCAGATTAGCTGCGTGCAAAGCATGCACTTTCCCACTGTACTATCTCTCCGGTCCCAAAGGTGGGACCTTTTGTTCCCTGCAGGACTTACAAGGGATCTTCTGCCTGGGTTTCTAAAGCCAATCCTTCCCCCTGTCCCACTAATTGTACTGCGCATAAAAGACGGTTCTCATTTTCCCAGCTGTTTTAATCCCTTGCTCTGGTGTACAAGTCAAGTCCACTCTACCTGTTTGTTAGCAGTGGCATGTTCCACACCCCGGCCAAAGGGCTGGGGCCCAGAGAAGCGTGGTGGGCAGGGCAGGCAGTTGTAACCAGGGTCTGTGTTCTTACACCTGTGCTCTCCGTTGTGGTTGAAGCAGGCATCTGGCACTTCTTTGCACTAAAGGAGAAACAACCATTGACTTAATATTTAGAAAGCGCAGTCAGAAGGCAGTGATGGGCACAAGCTCTGCTCACTTTGATCCAGTTCCTTACCTCATCCACGTCTCTGCACTGAATTCCATTTCCACTGTAACCTGCGGGACACGCACCGCATTTCCAGCTGCCATCGGGGTAGCTGGTACACTTGGTGCCCGCAAAGCAGGGGTTGGACAGACACCCATCTGCAACACAAGACAGGAAATGGTGTGAGCTGCTGCTCTGCTGTATTGGTCAGGCTGCAGACAATACTCTGTGAGGTCCCCAAAAATCTCCTGAGATGCTGCTGTGTCCATCTTTGATTGGGGGGGGGGGGGTCACAACTCGCTTACTCCAGGATCTCTCCTGGTTGTGCTCAGGGCACTATTGAGGGAACTGGGTGGACAGCCTACAAGGCAAGCACCCTACCCACTGTACTATCGCTCTGACCTCCTGTGTGCCCATCTACTTTAGAATAAACTAACCACTGGGTACACTAATCAGTACCAGAACCTCCTGGGATGCTGACCGGGGCATTCATTTTGGATTTTTACCTCCTGAAGGTGGGTTTGTCCCAGGCAGTGTGACTCACCGATTGGACAGTCTTGCTTGTTGCAGATCTGGTTCTCGGTCACATCTCCAATGCAGTCCTTGCCTCCAAATTGGGGTGGGGGGTTGTTGCAGAGCCTGCTACGTTTCTGCACTCCTCCTCCACAGGTGACAGAACAGATGTCCCACGGAGACCAGGGACCCCAGCCTCCATTTACTGTAAGAAAATGAATCAAGTGCATTGAGTCATGACCCAACTTGTCAAGGACTTCTTACACCTGTGCTCCTCAGGACAACTTCTGCTAAGTTTCTTCAGAAACTTAGTTTCTTCCCCAGAGGAAGGTGTTGGGAAGAGGGCTTGTAGAGGATTTCTCAGGTTTTGTTTTTTGATGTCAAGAAGATGAAGAACAAGTTTGCTTCTCCCCTCCACCACCCCTGGTGCTGAGTTGCAGGTGACAGGCCGGTGACGGCACCCACACTTACTGGGGCAGGCATCTTTCTTGCAGGCTTTGGTCTCCCGAGCTTCGCCTTCACATGGTTTGCCATTCATCTGGGGAGTGGGAGAGTTGCAGAGCCGGATCCTGGTGATCACACCATCACCACAGGTCACAGAGCAGGAAGACCATGGGGACCAGTGGCTCCAGCCGCCATCCTGTTTAACTAAAGGAAAGAGTGGATGGTTATTGGGTGCTTACCATGAGCCATGCTATGTTCTATTTTAAATACATTATGGAAGTAAAAACCTCCACAGAACCTTATCAAGAGCTGCTAGTACTCCAGATTTGGAGATGGGGAAAAAGCTGCAGGGAGGGTAAGCTGTGCTTCAGGGAGCTCAGGCAAGCTAGGAATTTGAATCCAGAGCAAGGTAGGGATTTGAATCCAGAGTCTAGAACCCGGGCTCCTGATCTCTCCACGGCAGAGCTGATCTTGGCGCTCAAAGGACAGTCCAGTCCACACATCCCTAGATGGCTGAGGTACTTACATCTCTTGTCACACTCCTGAAGGTGGCAGGTCCGCGTCTGGACAGAGGAGCCCTCGCATCTGTTGTTGAGGCTGTCGCAGGAGCGGCCACGCTGCTGGATTCCGTTGCCACATGTCACCGAGCAGGAGGTCCACTCAGACCATGGGGACCAGCCGTCATCTGCCGAGTCACTGGCTGCAGGGGAAATGGGTCCGTTTAGTGCATGATCATTAGGGCAAGCTGTTCTCTAGACAGGTCTGGTCATGGCTTTCTTCCCTTGACAGAGTGAAAAGTGACATGTCCCTTGGGTCAGCAGCTAAGGGTTTACCATAACGGGTTCTTCTAGGGAGAGAATTGGGCATCTGAGTGTTGCGCTTAGAGCCTGCAGCCACCTGACACTCCCCTCCTCCCCCGATACTCCATATGGGATTCCCTTTCCTGATGTAAGCTGTCAGGGCGGTGGGGGGGCATTTCCAGTGTTGCTTAGGAGACTTGATTTCATGTGGCTTCTGGAAGTCATGTCCAGGGCAGCCATAAGCTGTCTTGAACAGATGAGCCTGAGGCAGTGCTGCCATGGGCTACAGTTCCAAATAGGTCATGGGGCTGATCCTTGCACTGTTCCTCTCCCTCTAGTATTAGAGGCCTGCTCTGCACATATTTTCACAGGGGGAGAACATGTTTGTTTACCCTCTTGCCCTGGAACCATGACTACAATCACGTCTAGCTGTATCAGACAGAAGACAGAGAACTTGTTTTCTCCTGCCATCCCCTGGCAATTTTCCGAGAAATCCCTGACTCAAGTTCAGAACTCTTGTCTCCAGCTAGCTTTGTTCCCTTTAACCCACATTCAAAAGAAGGACGAACGGAAGTGAACATAGGTGATTATTATATTGCCCAGATCACTCACACAACCCCTGAATGGGCTGGTATTCTGACCTGTGTTCAGTCAGTTCGGGGTGTGTGTGTGTGTGTGTGTGTGTGTATTTGTGTGCGTGTGTGTGTGTATGTGTGTACAGTGCTACTTTCCTATTTTCTTATCTTGATTGTGATGAATCATTTTTATGACTTGTACCTATTACACTCATCAATACAACATGACTAATCAGGCAACAGAAAACATGAATAGAGAACTATGGGACAATACAGTCTCATTTTTTTTTCAGTGTCCTGAAATTCAAACTGCAGTTATTCACCTAGTCTTCCTCTTTCTGCATATAAAATGAGCTGAACTTTTCAGATTCACCCAAATCCAGTGCTCAGAGTTCCTTAAATTCCCTAGCTGGGAGGTTATTTCTTAACTCTGGGACACTCAGGTTTAATTCTAGAGGTATTAGAAGGTATTGTTAGGGCTATTGTGACTCTAATTCACCACTTCTTTCTCCAAAGGATAAAATCAGAATTAATAAGCTTGACTAAACTCATTGCCTGCACCACAATCCTGAGAGGTAATTGAGCTGGGGTGGTTTTGGCTCTGACTAGCTATTGCCACAGCGTGAAAATGAATGAGAACAGCTGATGAAGGTAGGGATCCAGTGTGTGCCCATGTTCATGGTGAACTGATAATCTCTGGGGAATGGTTTATGTATGCAGCTTTAGGAACTTACGCCAACACCGTGGGCAGCATTCTCCATCAGGAACAGTGGCATTGGAACAGGGCATAATGGGGCAGGAGACCTTTTTGCAGATGGTAACAGAGTCCTGCAGGGCAAGAGTTGGGAAGAAACAGGTTACTAAGCATAGTTTATTTACTGGAATATTTCAATTGCAAACTGCAGTATGGTCAGAGCGACAGATGCTCCTGGCCAATGATATTCTGAGAAGACTTGTCCCATTTGTAGCTGTCAGGACTGCAGAGAACACATTACTGCTTGTCCACTTGTCATTCTTTCTTAAAGGTTAGCTACTTTGTCAATGGCAGAGATTTCTGTAGGGAGAATTTATCCACAGGGAACCACAAACATATCATAGATCAGATCTATGAATGTATGTCTGAAACTGAATTATGAAACTCAGACAGTACTAATTTTTTAAGTTTGGGAAAATGGTGGGAAAAAGATTAATTAGTCCCCCCAACCCCTCCCCACAAACCATAGATCTGATTTTCCTATTATTTTGAAAAATTGGGAATTTTAATGAAGTTGGTCCAGATTTAGCCATTTGTGAATTGTATTCAAGCTTGACTCTGCTCAGTGAGCCAGGTCAAGTCCCCAAACTCTTCTTTCACTGGCACCAGGGAGTCACATACACACACACTATAGGCTGTGCCATCTGGGATAAGGAGAGAGTCACATCCCAACAATCCAGGCTAAGTGATCTGAACAATAGTCAGTGCTGGGCTCAAAGAATCTCTGTCACTGCTGAATAGAGAACAGTGCTGGAGGTGGGTGGGGGCAAGGAAAGTTCCAGCCAGGTTTTACTTAACCTGACACTCAATATTTTGACTTTGAACTAAAGCATGTAAATGATTCAGTCTTAGAAGATTGGCTTTTTTTCAGACAGTTAGCCTGGGGTATAATTAAGACTTTGAAAAACTTTCTGAGGGTTTAAAGAAAAATTTATAGATGTCATCATTGCATCTGAAGAAAAACACATGCACACTTGCACACTTTCTTTGGTATCAGGCCATGGAACGTGAAACCCAGTGGCTTATTGGGTGCCTCCCCAGATTGTGACTTCAAGGACTCATCACCCCTTCTTTCTTCAGTCTGTAAAGGCCCTTACCTGACAGTGACACTCTGTGCAGCTGTCAACTGTCCACTCCTCGTGGTTCTTGTACTGGACTCCATTGTGGTAGCAGTGAGGGGACCTCCTCAGCTGTTTGTTCTCTTCAGACTGGAAGGAGAAAGGTCATGAGTGTTCAACTTAAGCACGTGGGACCATCCATGAAAGTCCCAGGCTGAGGGACTCATGCTGGTGGTGGTGGGGGGGTGGGAGTAGAGGTCACTGACCACTTTGCGGATGCTGTCCTGAAGCGTGGTGACAATGGTGCGGAGGCCCCGGAGCTCCAGGACCATGCTAGACAGCTCATCACAAGAAATGCCACAGATGGCCTGCAGGTCCTTGGTCTTATGGCCAATGTAGTCAGTACGGATGGCAGGACTGGACCCATTCACCACATTATTGTCGAGGGTAAGAACAGGACTGGTAGCTGCCAAGAAAGCAAGACCAAATACAATGAGAAGAGCAATGGAAAATCCTCAAACAGATGCTGCTACCCCAGAGCTCCCGATCAGAGAAGACATTTCCTTTGAGAGAGTGCGTGCTGGGGAAGGGGATGCAGATGCCGTCTGTGGAATAGCTTTGGGGTCCCTTTGGCCCACTGCTTTACCTCTGTTACCCCCCCCCCCCGCCTCCATCCCCATAGGCCTTAAAAATAGAAAGGCACTCACAGCTCGAACAGCCTTTGTTCCTGAGGATATCTTCTGGTGTGGTTCCAAAGACAAACCGCACGTTCTGCAGCACCCCCTGTAGGCAGAGGACACACTTTACTTGTGGGGTTGGGGAGGGAGGATTATGGCGAAGGGACAGTGTTAATGTTAGGGGAGAAAGCTCACAATAGGTGTTGTGAAAGCTGGAAGGAGCTCCCTTTTAAGATCCCCACGCCAAAATAACACACCAAATATCAACTATCAGACAACCTCAAAAATTGTAATCATGCCTGCTGCCAAGTCTTTAGTATTTTTATAAAGAATCCAGTTATCAGTCTACTGGAGCACACAGGAAATGGAATCCGATACGAAGTCTGGAGGATATCATGACACTCGCAGTGTCACAGACTTGTACATGGGAGTTTCAAAGCCACAGTTGAAAGGACCAGGAAGCTCAGGCCAGCAAGAAGCTGCCACAGCAGAGCCCCTTGCTTAACCTTTCATTTGAGACCAGCTACACTGGAATCAAAACAGAAAAGCAGAATTTATTCTGCCCACACCGAGAAGCCACCTCAAGCAATACTGGTGGACTGCATCTGAAACAAGTTATCTGCTAGAGAAGAGCATCCGGAATATGTAATGCCGGAGCAGGCTGCTATAGGGAAATCACTGGTATCCTTGAGTGGTTTCCAAAGCACTGGTCCCCAGAACAAGAGCATTTTAGAAACGTTTTAGAAATGCACAGACAGATTCAAGCCTCATCTCAGATCCACTGGAGTAGAAACTCCATTGTTGAGGCACAGACGCCAGAGTTCTTAAAGTCCTCTAGGTGACTCAGATACTGCCGAATGCTTGAGAAACGCTACAGGCAGAATTTTCTATAGGGGATACCCCACCACTCCCCACTTTCCAGCCCTTTATCTCCAACCTCCCTGACAGGTGAGCAGGCTAGCAGGAGAACCCCCAGGGGCCTCACCTGGAAGTTATCATTGACGTCTCCCTTTGCAATGCGCAGTCTGGCGATGCTCGCCAGGTCCCTGGTGAAGATCCTCTGGATGGGGACATCAAGCTCAGCACTCTCCATCTTCTCGCAGTCGATGTAGAGCTGGGCTCTGTCCTCCTGCACAAACAGGGTGATGCTCTTCCACTGGCCTGTGGCCAGGAGTGCTTCCTCCACAGACACCACACGCTGTTTGCCCTGCAGGTTCAGGCTCAGGTCCAGCGTGCCTGCCTTGCCATTGGACACCACGCTGAAGAGCTGGCCGGAGCGGTCTTTGCGCTCGAGGGCCAGCAGCGTGCCTCGGGTCTTCTTCATCTGCCGCAGGGAGGCCAGGAGGAGGAAGCCCTTCTCAGCCCGCACGGCGTCCACCAGGTCTTGGAACTTGTCGTCAGGTACGGGGGGAATCAGGTTGGCATCTTCGATGCGGAAAGCGGGGCTTGAAGGATCGGGGCCCTTCACCAGCCGGCGCCCAGAACCCTTGCGGGCAGCCCCAGTGAGTTCAAAGATGTCAAACACGCTGTTGTCTGTGCTTGACTCTGTGGAGAGGAGCAGAACCCCCATGAGATTTCCAGACGGGTTAAGGTGGGAGGCCCCTTGCCCAGGGCTGGGTTCCAAGGGACAGGGTGGAAACTGGCAAGCACCACCTAGGGTGACTGCAATAGCCACCTGCATCCAGGTGTGCATGCAGAGCTGGGGGGTGGGGGTGGGGGAGCCACAGCTGTTTGAGGTGCACCTGGAGTCAACAGCGCCTCTGCCTCCACTCCTCCCTCCCCCGCAACCCCTCAAGGTATTCCACGGACTCACCTGGAATGTGGTTGGAGGCACACACGTGCCCCAGGAATAGGACACCGAGTGCCCAGGCCAGCCCCATGGTGGAGCTGTGGGTGCCCTGCAGGGAACCTGCAAGAAGCACAGAGCCCAGGGTCAGAGGCGGCCAGGAAGGGAGGGTGGGCGAGAACGGGGGCGGGGGGTGGGTTTGGCTAGGGGATATTTCCCCCCTTGCGCCCCACATTTGCTAGAACGAAGGACAAAGCATCGAGTACACACTTTGGAGAGGTCATGGACAAGAAAGTGAGAGCGAAGTGCTTCGAAAGAAAAGCGAGGGCGACTCGGGAAGGTGCTTTCCCAAAGCGGGGGAACCGCCGGATCGGAAGGAGATGTAGTTTGGGGGGCACACGAGGGCTCCGGGGGAAAGCAGCAGAGATCCTTGTCTAGAGGATTGAGAGGAGACTTGGAGAATGAAAGGAAAGAGTGGGGGTATCCCCAGAGCTCCGGAAGAATGGAGGAGCCCCTCCAGGAGGGCAGGGTAAACACACAGCGCAGCCAGGGACGAAAAGCAGAAGATCCCGGGCTCAGGAGTCCGCGGCAGGGACCGCCGGGAGACCCTCCTACCTGTGCGAGGACGTTGGGTGCAGAGACCGGGCGCGGCGCGTCGAAGCCGAGTCCGGAGCGGAGCGGGGTGGCGGGCGGGGCGCCCGGTGGTCGCAGGCTGCTTCGGGACAGCTGGCACGAGTGGGGGTTTGCCCGCCGGTCGGGTGCAGTGGCTAGCGAGGCTCAGGAGCCGCGCTTTTAAAGGGGCGCTCGCATTCCTGGGGATTGCTCGGACCAATGGGAGGCGGCTGGGCAGGAAGCGGGGGGGGGGGGGGGGGGCAGTCTGGGTTCCTCTCTCCGCCCCCCGCGGCCCGGCGCGCAACCTCGCAGCTTGGACGGTGAAGGGGGCGGGGGTGCTCGGGCCGGGGAACCCTGAAACTTCTCAAAACTGTAGGTGCCGCCCACGCAGCCGGGGCGCTCCCGGGCTCTGCACCCGCCGCTTGCGTCACGAGGACCCGTTGCGTGGCGCGGAGCATCCCCGGCGGTGACGCGGCTGGGACTGGCCACGATCCTTATGGGGGCGGCCGGGTGGGGGTGGGAGGGAGCGGGGGAGGTGACTTCCAGGCAACCCCCGGTCCTAAGGATGCCTGGGTATGGCTGGAGGAGTCGGGAGTCGGGGGGCGAGGGGAGCGGACAGTTGGAGGCCGCCGATGCCGTCTGTAGGAACAGCGAGTACCATACACACACCCGGTGGTCACTGGTATCCAGGAGGGTTCGTCGTTATAGAAGCAACCCCAGTGTAAGTTGGTGAGTCTGCGGGGCCGTCTTCACGCCGCGTTCCTACCCTCGCCCCGAACCCTCCAGCCTGCTCCTCCAAGGGTGTGGCAGCGCGAGGTTCGGGGCCCGCGTTACCCACGCGGCCGGCCCCGGGCGCACTGCGCTGGCTGCAGGTCCTCTAAGTCCCACCGTGCTCGCCAGGGGCCGGTGCGCTCCCACAGACTGCCGCTTGGGGGCGCTCTGCGTATTCGGATCAAGGGGCCCAGAAAGGCCCTGTTGCTTTCCAGTCTCTGGGAATAAAGTTTAAGGGGACGTTGTTCTCTTACACAGTTTTGTCCAGCCCAGATGGAAATTATGTCTTGAAAAACAGTTTTGGTGCCCACTCGTGCTTCTTAACGTGACTCCTGGTTGGGGGATTTGCGGAGCAATCTGGCTGCCGGTCTTTCAACTATTTACGGAATGGCCCAATAGTTATAAATCACCTCCTGCCTATCATTCTATTTCCTTTTTTTTGCCTCCTTCAACGTTCTTTTCATTTTTCGACTCCCAGTACCAAGGTGTGGGTTACATTTCTGCGGGCACGTCTAGGGCCATGAGCGCTCCTGCTCAGTGCTTGCTTCTGGCATTGGAAATCTAGTCTCCAAGCCGCAGTCCCAAGCCAGCATGACTCCAGCTGCCTGGAATTCCATTCATCTCTCAGGGCTAGAGCGTCAGCGGTAGCACTTCCCAGGCTGTGATCTTGCACTATCAGTCCCCTGGCAGGTAGAGCCTCACCAAATAAGGATCTCAGCCACATGTGTGTGTGTGTGTGTGGGGAAAGCCTGGGATTCACCTCCCTTCTTGCCCTCACACCTGGCAGGACTCAGCACTGCTAGAAACACCCACGAGTTTACACTGGTCCAAAAGCGACTTCACTTTTCCTGTGTAGGAGCGCCCTGTGACAGACAAGGTCCTCCTTTCAACGACTTGCAGAGAAAGGGACTGGGTGTTTTCTAGTAACTTCAAGCACCTTCAAGAAGAGGACAAGCGCTTGTCTCAATACATGCGTGTTTGTTGCTGAAGCAATAACTTGACCTGACCGTCAAGATGGGTTTCAGATGTGAAGAGACAGAAATAAAAGTCTCTATTGGAAGATTAGTCAAATCAGATTCCTGATATGGAAGTCATCGGTTAGTGATTCATCCAAAGAGAGCTAAAGGTTCACGAGTCAGCAGCTAGACTTGTCCTTCCCCTTCCTCCTCCTTTCCCTGAATCCTGTTTGCCCCTAGAAGAGTGATTTCCCAACCATCACTCCTTTCACTTGCTACTGTTTCTTCCTCTACTAGATGTGTAAGAACAGGTTTTGGAGGGCTGGCCACCTGATGACCCTTTGAGCCTTTGGCTTGCTTATGGAGTTTATACAATCGGGTGAGAGTTTGAGGATCCCAAGAGACATAGAAGGAGGAACACAGCAGATAACGTCCCGGTCGATAAGCCTGTGAACAGATAGTACTCCAAACATGGAGTACTTATACTCCGTGGCCCCTGGAGGTGAGCCCTTTCTGGGTGTCTGGGCTTCTCCACTCCTTAGACCTTAGCCTCTGATCAGAGTGAAGAATTTTCACCTCCTCTATACTTTACAAATAGGAAGATGACCTCGATGTTGGCAGGAGTTTTCTGCTTAGAGGCATAGGAGATATTTCTCTCAAACCTCAAACCCTCTGGGGATCCTGGGACCCCAGATTTTATGCTAAGGGGGATAAAGTGAGCAGACTTAGGAAGTTTTTTACTTTATTGTTGGCTAACAGTGAGCTGAAGAGATCCCCCAGAAAATAAAACCCTATGGGCTAGGGATGGGAAAAAGAGAAAGAAACCAAATACCTGCTTTGAAATTGAAAGAGAATGTTGAGAAGCACTGTTTGGCAGCTGATTTAGCCAAACAGATCTGTAACTAGAGAAAGGATGAACAGAGACCTTCATATCCAGAAACCTGGTCCTTATGTCCAGGATGGATCAAGAGCCGAACAAGGTACTGACAAGTTGACTTTCAAAAGTCATACATTTTACAGTGCTGTTAATTGATTGTGGGGATTTATCATTAATTAGGTACATTGATAGTTAAAAAAATTAAGTTGCAGCCTTGTTTGAACTTGGGACTAAACTGATAACTGTGTGGAATGATTTTGTTTTATATTTTTAAGTGCGAAGGGATTTTTATTATGTGTAAGCACACAGTCATTATTTAGTCAATAAATTTGCACTAAGTCATCTTGTTGTGGTTCCTTCACTCTGCACATGCTACTCTCTACTGCAGTGCCAGTCTTATCTTCACTTCAAGATGGCCCTGGAGTGAACCAGCACCAGTCAGGATTTCCCCACAGCAGCCTCCCCATAGGCAGGTTGTGTGGCCGTGGAGGAATAAATAGCACTGTTGCCTGAATGGCCGCTGAGCCCTGGGGTGGGGGCCTTCTTATTTTTTATGTTTAAATTAAGTACTTTAAACAATTCATGGAAAGCTTACAGCAAGACAAGAGAAACAACCATGAATAATTTTAGTGGCATTCCTACTTGAAAGTGAAAAGAGTGATATAGACGTCTTTGTTTCCTGAGTGCAATTCTGTGAACTCCGTCAAAAGGTTCCATAAGTGAAGATAATGCTTATCATAAGGAATCATTTAAAGATCACATATGTCAAGAGCAGACAAAAAGAACCACCATGAAATTCACCTGGTCTGTGATGTGGAGAACTACCTGATGTATGTGGTCCTCACAGCAAATGAAATGGGAAGAGTTAACACTTGGGCTTTCTCACCAGCTTTTTGAGGTATGCATTTTCATTCAACATTTTTCTATTTTTGTCTGTGTTTGGTTTGGGGCCACACTAGGTGTTACTCAGGGCTTACTCCTGGCTCCGTACTCAGGGATCACTCCTGGAGGGCTTGGGGAACCACTGGGATGCCGGGGATCAAACTTCTGGTTGGGCTTGTGCAAGAGACTTACCTGGTGTACTTTCTCTCTGGCCTCAAAATTCAAAAAAAAATTGTTTGATTTTTTTTGGGGGGGTTGAGGGATACCTGGTGATGTTCAGGGTCTATACCCAGCTCTGTGCTATGGGATCAGAGAAGAAGAGTTGAGTTGCTCCTGACACTGCTTGAGGGAGCATGTGGTGCCCAGCAATGGAACTTGGGTCTCGGCATACAAAGCTAATAATAAAGCTTTGATACTGTTTCCTTGTCCTGATCTCATTTTTATCTCCTCACAAAGCCTGTGGAGCAATAGTCAGATATATGGAAAGAACACAAGTTTCCCTAAAAGTGAGTATGAGTGAGTATCATGACACATTGGGTTATTTGTTTCTGAGATAGGTTGTGAAATGTTTCTTGGGGGCTTGCACCAGTACTTTTGATTATATAGTTAATCTGGAATGCTTAATTCGGAATGTCCCCCAGAGTTCCCTGTCATTCACAAAGCCTGAGTCTGAAAGACAGACAGCAGCATTCCTAGGACTTCCTATGCCAACAAAACATGTTCTTCCTCAAACAGCTTTTCAGACATTCTACATGGCACTTCACATCACTCATGGGAAAAGTACAATTTTTCACATCTTCTGAACAGTTTTCATGCAGCACTGTTCAGATTAAGAGCTGTTTCAAGTTTTCTGTTAAATTGCTTTTTCTTCGAAGATAATGACAAGTGCCAATTAGAAGATAAAGACAATCAAACATAAAGAAAATGCCAAAAACGGGTGAAGAGTTTCAGGAATTGAACCTGACGTGGAGGTTGGCATCCAGTTTAAGACTGCATGAGACTCACAGGCCAGAGAAGTATAGGCAACAACCAGCAGTGGGGTGACCAGGCATTGTCTGAAGTGATAGCAATCTCTTAGGAGGTGGTTTTCCCCTTCCCCCTTTTTGTATAGTGAGATCATGACAACTTGCATTTTGCAAAGCTGAGCCAAAAGAATTGTCACTCTTTCTGACTGAAGAGGGTGAGCGTATAGTCTGAAAAAAAAAGCTTTAAATTTTATCATGACACTGAAGTTAAGCCCTGCTGCTCCCCAGGGCTGAAATGTACTCAGGAAACCCCCCCCCCCCCTCTCTCTCTCTGTGTCTTTCTGTCTCTGTCTCTCTCCCTCTCTATGTCTCTCTGTCTCTCTTCCTCTCTATATCTCTCTCTCTCCCTCCCTTCCTCCTTCTCCTTATTGATTGAAGTACTATGATTTTCAATACCATTAAAGATGTAGGAGAGATAATAGGAATATTGGTGGTAGAAAATGAGTACTGGTGAAGGATTGGGTGTTTGATCATGGTATGACTGAAACTCAATCATGAAAGCTTTGTAACTGTATCTCATGGTGATTCAATAAAAAATTTAAGAAATACATAATCTAGTATAAATATAAAAACTAAAAAAATG